ACTGCTTGGCACTTTATTGTTACTGTGCTTATAGCTCTAAGAGCTTTTACCTGTTTTTTTAAGAAACAACAACCAAAAAAAACCCCACCAGCTAAAAGTGACTTGAGAAATAGGAAAATTTACCTCACATTAAAAAAAAAAAGAGGTTAAGTTACAGGATTAGTTAATTTAGCATGGAAGGAGCTCATTAAGGACATAGACTCCTTCCATGCTTTCGTGTTCTATCATGAGTTTGGTAGCTGGTGGCAAGTTGGCTAAAGCAGCTCTAGGGATCGCATATTCGAGTGACTAATTTAAAGTCAGGACAAAAGAAATTGCATCATCTTATGCCCCTTTTTAAGCGTGAATAAAACCTTCCTAGAAATTCCTTAGAAGCTTTTCTTCTCTTATATCAATAATTAGAATTGTTCACATATCCTCTCTACAGCTATCAATTGGCAAGTATAATAAGGTCGTAGTGACTGGTTTATATTAGTTATATAATAGTCAGCCATTGGGGATGGGAAAAGGCCTGACCTCCCCATAAGGACATGCCCCCTAGAAGAAAGAGAGCAATCAGGATTCCCTTAGTAGGAAAGAAGTTGGGCAATGGCCACTGAGTCGGCAACCAAAGGGACTGTCAGGGCAACCTTCAGAGGAAGAAACTCATCTTCCTCTGGGTATGAGGTCAAAAAGGTTAAGTTACCCAGGTTCGCCACCTATGATGTGATAGAAGTGGGATTCAAAGTGATTGTTCACAATAACTGGGAATATGGCCCGAGAAGAGGGCCCATCTGAAATATGCCTTTTCCAAATTCACAGCCTCGTCTTTTTGGAAGTTGCCTTAATCCTATCATTGAGTTTGCCTACAAAGCCTTAAAGAAGTGTTATTATAGAGTACAAGGAAGGAATTGGGAAGTAATTCTGTACAAGGTTATATATAATGATTCCTCTCATTAACCTTTATTTTTTCTTCTCACTCCCTCACTGTAAGTTAATATACTTGTAATATTATGGCAAAAACAATGTAAAGGGATTTTTATATAGGATTTTCTAGAAATCATGTTTGCAATTTATTTATTTATTTATTTATTCATTCATTTTAATCCTCACTTGAGGATATGTTTGAGAAAGAGAGAGAGAGAGGGAGAGGGAGAGAGTAAGGGAGAGGGAGAGGGAGATTGGGTCTGTGATCTCCACAAGGTAAAATAATTAGCTTTTCATTACAAAAAATTTCATGATCATAGAGATAATAGTTATAGTAAGGAAAAAACAGAAATTTACAGACCCTTAAACCTTCCAGAGCTAACAAATTTTTGTTGCTTCAGGCTTGAAATATGTTATTAACTGCAATAGATTTGAATTTCTTCTAAATTCTTAAATTTGGGAGAAGAATCTATTCTTATATTACTATTGGAAAGGGAAGGAGGAATATGAATCCATTCAAACTATTCCTGGAACTATCAGAATGGTATGAAGGTTCCTGTATTTGCTGTGCTCCTTCTGAAGGGTTCAAAGATAAGAGGATTGCTGGTGAATGACTGCTGCATTTCATCCAGAGACCTGAGTGCTCTCACTGCTTATTCCCTTAGGGGGTCATGTTCCTCTGCTTAAAAGAATATTGCCTGCTCTATGAGCTAATGATTTGTTTGGAGGATGTGAGTCTCAGAGGTGAAGATAACTGCACAGTTTTTATAATGTATCTTTCAAATCTTTGATCTGCTTTTTTCTGAATACACGGGACCACTCTGTAGCAAGATTAAAGACACCTTTTCCAACTAGAAAGGCCACATTTGAAAACCTAAAAGCTGCTCAGACTTCCAAATAATATTTCTGCATTTTGTCAACCTCATACTTGGCGTTGTCCTGCATGGTAATCAGAATGCAAAGCTGGATCATAGGGTTGTTTTTCTCATATTTTCCAAGGAGGTGGGAACTATAAATTTTATTTTTAAAAGTGGTTAGTGCAAACTAGTTTGTGGCTAAGACATAAATACTCATTTTGAATTTTCTTTAATTTGACAAATATTTACTTGCTAGCAAGCAGGTGTTAGACATGTACCTTCTTTCTTATGGAATGCCAAGAATCAGAACCTGTTTCCAGGAAACTCATATTCTCAGTGGGAAGATAAGGCAATTAAAGAAATGCCCAGAATAGTATGCAAAAATTTGACAAATGAAAAGTGTTTAAGATTAATGAATGAGATTCAATGTGGGAACAGAGAGAAAAGATAACATTCAAGTGAGAGGGGAATCAGGGAAGACTCTAGCATTTGAGAAGGTCCTTATAGGATCAGTGAGATTTTTCTGGGGAGCGTAAGGGCTGGAAGTGAGGTGTCTGGGAGGAGATGGATAGCTGGGGAGGGAGGTGGTCAGAAAAGGTTGAGAAGATTGTACTTAATTTATAGGCAGTAGGGAGACAATGAAGGTTTTTAAGCAGAGCAAAGATAGGAGAATAAGCATTGTGGTTAAGGAAATATTTTGGAAACATTATGAAGTAGACTTTAAAGTGTACTTTGAGCTAAAATACTTTTTTGTAAATAAGCAATTGTGTTGATAATGTCATACAGATTTTATTTCTAAATAGAACTGCCCCTAAAAATGGTAAACATCCTAATAGCATGAGAATGAATTTATTTATATTTGAATCTGAATGATGATTATTTCTCACTTTTATAATGATGTCACTCATCCATGCATAGATTTCTAATCTTGATCAAATGAATCAATAAGGGGGTGTACTTTCTTAGCATTCTGGAGAATTTAATCATCTCTAACATATGAATAGCTGAGGTTTTACTCTCCAAATAATAATTTCAAATTTTATTCTATTGCCAAGTCCTTTAGAACACAACACATTCTTACAAAATATATAGAGATAAAATATAAAAAAATAGAAAAATAGCTTTATAAAGTAAAGAAAATTAAAATAAGGTTTTAAAAAAGTCAAAAGCAGGATTATAGCAATTAGATACATGGCTCTGATCAGAAGCTGGTTTTGAATATTTTTTTTTTCATGATTATCATGTGATGACTAAAGTCCATCCAAGGTAAACTTGAAATCATGAGTGACTCAACTTACTCTCTACCAAACCTTTTATCATCAAAGCAAGTATTCTACTAGATGGATCTCCTGAGAGGGAAGAATAAGAAATGAAAGGGGAGATAACTCCAAACTACAGAACAAATTCCCAATATATGACAAGACAACATTTAGAAGTAAGCAAAATATAATCAAAAGTGGTTATCAATAATTATCAATAGTAAATATACATATTTTGGGAGCACTTGAGCACATTGAAATTCAACAAGCCTTCTGTTTTTAAAAACTTCCTCTTGTTTTTTTTTTCTTACTGTGCATAAATTTGAAATGAGACCATTCTTACTTCATAACTAGGGGACAGATGGTGGTAATTGGTATTTTGCTAATATAGAGTCAATAAAATTCATTTGTGCCCAATTTACTGTTTATTCCATGGAGAAAATAAATACCAAGAGAGATTATTGTTTTATCTAAACAAGGGAAAAAAAGAGTTCGAAGGTGAAGATGCTTCTTCACATTACAAAAATTTGCCAAATGATTCCACTTGAGTTATCCCAAAATATTTAAAACATGTTACTTTATTTTTTTTTGCACTTTTTATTTATTTATTTATTTATTTATTTATTTTAATGTTTTAATTTTTTATTTTTTTAATATATTTTATTGATTTTTTTTGCCCCCCTCCCTCCCTCTCATACATACTTTCCCTTCCCAGAGTTTTATGTCCATTGGTTGTACTTATATGCATGTATACAAGTCCTTTGGTTGATCTATTATCTCCCCCAGATCTCCCTCCCCTCCCCACTGTAATTTGACAGTTTGCTTGTTGCTTTAATATCTCTATATCTATCTTTTGGTTCATCAGTTTATAATGTTCTTTATTATCCATAAATGAGTGAGGTCATGTGGTGTTTCTCTTTCATTGATTGGCTTATTTCACTCAGCATGATGTTCTCCAATTCCATCCAGGTTGCTGCAAATGATGAGAATTCCTTCTTTTTTATGGCAGCATAGTATTCCATTGTGTAGATGTACCATACTTTTTGGATCCAATCATCTGCTGATGGACACCTAGGCTGTTTCCAAATTCTGGCTATTGTAGATTGTGCTGCTATGAACATAGGGGTGCATATATCCTTTCTAATTGGTGTTTCTAGTTTCTTGGGATATATTCCTAGGAGTGGGATTACTGGGTCAAATGGGAGTTCCATTTTCAGTAAAACATGTTACTTTAAAAAGTTTGACTTGCAAACAATCATGTAACCCAAGGTCTGTCACAGGCAGTACTGTTTAAAAACAAAAAAACCCGCCCTAATCTAAAATTCTTAACTGAGGACTAAAGCCTACTTGACAGGCAAAACTGACCTCCCCTACCAAGTTATTTGTTTTAATGGACTATTTTGACTAATTGTTACTAGCAAACATACATAGGGAAAAAGTGGCATTGAGCGAAATTACTACCAAATATTGTTGAAGTTAATATTCAAACTTGAATTGATAAAAAGTAGGAAAATTCGCTACCATCAGAACAGTAAGAGTCTAATATTAATCAGCATCTATATACACTTGTTCTTGTCAATAAGGCACAACACTGAAAAGTTTTTAAAAAACATAAACTTATTTCAGTCTTCGCAACTGATCACCACTTACTGTTGAATATTGAAGATCACTGATATAAAATACACACAGCTTGAGGATGGTCATTTATCAAGTTGAAGGCATCATTCCCATGATTTTATGCTTTCTTTAAAATTGAACATACAAGATAGCGCAAAAGTACATACAATATTCACATAAGGAACAAGTAAAATTGCCCATATAATTAAAAACACCAATGACTGAGTAAACCTTTACAAATGAAAAAGACTTAGTCATTACGAATGATGCAAAATCTAGTGTTTAAAAACAACAACAACAACAACAACACACACACACACACACACACACACACACACACACACACACACACAAGGCTTACCAGTAACTGGATCAAGTGCAATATTACTTCTAGTTTCCTTCCATGAGAGCAGAGTGTTAAGGCTGGAGAGATCTGCAGCTTCTATATAACTGCTAATTGTCATCATCATCTGATGAGCTTTTGCTATTCCGTAATGAACTTTGGTTTCATCCATCAGAGGCACATTTGTTAGCTCTGCTGTAGTGTCAAAAGCTTGCTGAAAGTATTCAGAAGCTTTGTTGTAGTGTCCCTAAAAATATAAGAAAAATAATTTTTTCTTAATTTTCAGTTTACCATTTCACATGTCTTCCCACCTTGACAAGTACCACACTGTTTTTTTTTTTGTGTGTGTGTTTTTTTTTGTTTTTTTTTTAACAGTTAGAGCAGTTTATCTTCAAGAAGAAAGTGATGGCAAGCAGGGTCTCTGTTACAAAAAGGTTTTCTTTAAACATCGGGATTACTAACTGCATAATTCTTGAAGTTAATTCACTAAGAAAGCTATATCTATCAAATATAAATAAGTTCATCCTCATGCTATTAGGATGTTTACAATTTTTAGAGGCAGTTGTTCTATATAGAAATAAAATCTGTATGAAACATAAGTTTTTTGGATAAAAAATGTTTAAATATTAGCATTTTCATATGATTTAACCTAATATATGATAGTAAAAAGAAGTTTGGGAAAGAATAAATCAATTCACATTGATATGGATGGTATTTTCTTACTTGTAGTATTGGATTTACCTAATGAAATATTTTTAACTAGCTTTAGCTATCAGACACAGTGCAAGATAATTTCTAGCCAAGCTGTTAAGCAATCATCTGTGAAAATAGATGTGTCTGTTGACTTAGTGTTTAGTCTTGTTCTCCCACATGCACATGCCATTCTTGGCTGTAATTAAAAAAAAAATCTTGGTAGGACTAGTACAACCTAAATGATCATTTAAATGTCCATCTCTTCTCCAAGTTCTCGGCAACATTTTAAATTACAAAAATGAAAGGTCTTTGTCGTTGTTCTTTTTTGTTGTTGTTGTCATACTCATCTCTCCTCCTAAAAGCTATTGCCTGCAAATGAATAATTTCCCCCTAACTTTTATGAAGTATCAGAGCCAGTGCCAAGTACTTCACATATAGTAGGTCATGAGCTTTCATAAGACATCCTATGAGAAAATCTTATTTTACAAATTATGAAATTGAGTCTCAGAGAAAAGACTATCTTCTGCTGCCCCAAGTCTTCTGAAAATCCTCATTAAAAACTCTTCCTCGGAGAAAGGTATTTTTAGAATTGAGCTATATTTATAAAAACTCTAGGCAACAAGATTTCCTTTCTTTACTGACATTACACTTTGGGCTCCATTCTCCTCTCTCCTTCCCTGCCCTACCCTCACCTTACTTTCTATCACACAAACACAAAAATGTACATGCATTCTCTTTTGAAAGAAAACCCTTATGAGAGAATGCTTTGTTATGGATTTATGAGTCATTCTCTCACAATGTTTTATGAAGGAATTAGAAATAAAACCATCACAGTAATAGCTTTATATTACACACCAGTTCAGGTGAAGTGCACACTCAACTCTATGTACCTCTGTGTAACTAGAGTTCAGAGAGCAGTCAAATGGACTGAATAAAGAAGTTGCTGGCAAGGTGAGGAGAGGGAGAAATAAGGCTTCTGTGAGTTATGAGCAGCACATATAACATTCTGTTACATGCCCACAAGGACAGTTTAGGTGAACCATTAATTCAAATGGTTCATTCCAATTAAATTTGCCAATTTAAACAGAATCCTTCTATATTATATAAATAATTTTTGTTTGCTGAGATGAGCAAGTTTTTCTCTTATTTCAAAGTATAAAACATAGAATAATAGAATTTATATGAGAATAAGATTACTTAATTAGGAAACAAAACTATCAGATATGTATATGCCAATTAGTAAATTAGATGATTGAGAAAACAACACAAATATTGAACATGAAAATAAAATTTATTAAAATTATTGATTGTCCTGCTAGACATCAAAGATATATGATAAAATATATTAAAATATATGACTAGACCACATTTTTATATTTTTAATGTGTTTTTGTTTGTTTTGTTTTTAATTTCATAGAGAGGAAGGGAAGGGAGTGAGAAATATAAACATGCATGTCCACTACTGGGAATCAAGCCCACAACCTAGGCATGTGGCCTATTCAGGAATCAAACCATGATCTCCTGGTTTATAGGTTGACGCTCATCCACAGAGCAACCTGGCCAGGACAAATATTTTTCTTTTTAAAAAGAGAAGTATAAATATCTAATTACTGTTCTAGTTATAATTCTGAGCTTTAGGCTATTTATTGTTTTAGGTGGGAGGCTCAGTTAGGAAAATTAGGGACCATAAATAATTAACATATATTTGAATTTCCCGAAATTTTTTGGTATATTATTTCATTTATGTTAAAACAAACTCTCATTCATTTATCCACTTATTCATTAGCCATTTACTATATGCCAGCCCCATGCCAGACATTGGGAATTCAGCAATGAATCAAGTTTACCATTGGGAGGTGAGCTAGCTATCAGTGTGTTTATGTACCTAAAACTTTTATTAGATTTTATTTAACAAGTGCTTTTTCTCCCTTATAAATAGAAACATTAAAATGAGGTAATTATTATTATTATTTAAATTTTTGCAAGTATTACATATGTGCCCTTCTCTCACCCATTGACTCTCTCTAGGTAGCCCCTACCCCTCACCCCAGGTCTTCACCGCCCTTGAGGTAATTATTCTTCCCTTAAATAGTACCTAGCATTCAATTTTTAGACACACAACTGCCATAAAACTGGCATTAATGTAATTTCTCTAGTTTAAAACACTCTTAATAAAATACCACATTAATTCTCAAATGGAGTGCTTTTATACATACCTTTTTGCAATGAGACTCCATTAAGGTATATTAGATTTCCAGATTTTTAATTCTTTAAGAGTTTAATATCTCAATTTAATCTCTTCTCTAAAGGTTCTGTCTAATCTTAATAGTTCACTCCTGTTATCAGTTAATCTCTATCCTATTATAAAATTCAGAAGATTCTAGTAGTTAATCCTGGTAATTTTAATTATGAGTTTGAGAATATATAAATGAATTTATGCATTTCATGAATGCATCTTACTAGATGAGAACTTCATTTAATGTTATAAATATCACTGATAAGCATTTAGTGGACAGCTCAGGACAAGGTCTTGATGACATCATAGGCCTTAAAACAAAGCTTGTGTTATTACACCATAAACATAGAATTTTCAAGCATGATTCTGATTTTTACTAGATTTTTTTTTTGGTGTCTAAAATGTTACTCCATCTCAAGCTCAGAATAAATGGGCATTTTCTCAGAAATAAGAAAGAATAATTTCTTATACATTTTCCTTACTATTTTAGTGTTGGAACTACCATTGTTTTAACTATGTTATTATTCATTCTCTGATCTTATTAGGGAATGAGAAATCTCATTAACTTATTTTTCTTAAAACATTCTCATTTGACCACTTTGTATTAATTATATGTTTTCAATAGTCAGTCCAGAAAAAGATAATCTGTAGAGGGCAGGATTGGTGGCCACTTTCAGGACTATGTAGTATACTAAAGAATTATTTTACTACATAAAAGAGAATTTATCTAAGATAAAGGATATTTTTAAGATATGTTAATTTTAATTATAATAACATTAATACCAGTGAGAGAAAACTCCAACATTTTTTTCAAAAATAGTTTTGTACTGAAATTGTGGCCTCATAATAATATTATTTCTTAGACATTATTATTAGAATACATTACATGAATATATGAAACCAGAAAAGGTCTCATCATATGATGAGGGCCTTAAGAGGTAGACTGACAAGTACCATTAGATTTGGTTTTAAAGATTCAGTACAAGTTTTCAAACTGCCAAAATATTGTACAAGAATAAAATAGAAGTTTAGAATTTCAAAAGTGAGAAAAGACTACTCTTCAGTTATATAAAATTGGCTACAAGTTTATTGATTGTTTCAACAAACTAATTTTTTAGCTCACCAACTCTGAGCCAGGTTCTCTGCTAGACATCAGAATAAAATAATAAACAAGGCAGATATGCTCTCTGTTCTCATTAAGCTTCCATTTTAGCCAGATTAAACAACAATAGCAATAATAAAATGTCACAAATAAGAAAACTATAAGATAACTGCTGCATGGAAAGTTAACATTAAAGTGTGACCTGCATTTCACGAGTAGTGGCCTCTTGAGTGAGATACTTTTATTTTAGACTTTTTCCCCCTCATCTTTATCTCTTCTTTCCCATAATCAATCTGTGGCTAGAATTACACATTTCCTTCAGAACTGTTCTTGGGACTGTCCTGTCTTCTCCTGAGGACCTAGCAGTAAAACGAGAATTTGGAGCAAGAGCCACTAATGCCAGTGTCAGTTGATGAGAGCCAATTAATATAATGAAGTTCCTTTGAATTTAAATATTTTAATTGGCCTTCACATTTGAAATTACTTAGGACCTGCATTGGCTGTGAAAATGGGCATCAATGTTGGCAACTTGTGGTGACTGTGCCCAACCTGGCACTCAGATCCTAGGGGAAGAGGAAAAAGAGACAGTTCTCTTTCTAGTCACTGCCCTGTGCGTCAACTTAGCCCCATAGTCCTGGGGTCATTCTGCACAATGTATGGGGAAAGTGAAGATACCATGGGAATAGAATTTTAAAGCTACTTTCCTCCCCATAAGTGAGAAACACATATACTCACTTTTTCATTGTAGATGTCACCAAGCATTGTACTTGCTTTCACCACATCTAGCTTTTGAAAATTGTTTCTTGCCAGGTTCACAAATTTCTTCAGGTATATAACTGCTTCTACCATATCTCCTTGGCTAGAATAAATAAAACAGAAAGCTATTGGAGTATCATTCCACTTAATGTCACAGCAAAGAGAAGATCTTGTGTGTATTTTGCTTTAGAAAGTGCAAGGTGGTTACCAGGATAATGAAATTTAAAGTGAAAATATCAAATTAAAAATACATGGCTTGATTTTGTGGGAATATATAGTAAGTTACAATGCAAACCTTGTAACCTTCATGCACTGCTGGTAGAAATGTAAACTGCTGCAGCTGTGCTGAAAAAGAGCTGGTCAATTCCTCAGAAACTGTGACAAAGAGTTATCACATCACCCACCTATCCTACTCCTACATATATACCCAAGAGAAATGAAAATATGTCCATACAACAGTTTGTACATGAATGTTCAAAACAACATCGTTCTTCATAGCCAAGAAGTGGAAACAATCCAAATGTCTATGAATAGATAAACAAAATGTCTTATATCTCTGTACAATGGGATATTATTTTGCCTCATTCTTATAAGAAGGAAGTATTGGTACATGCTATTATATGGATAAACCTTGAAAACACATTAAATTAAAGAAGCCAGTCACAAATAGCCACATATTATATAATTCCATTTACATGAAATATGCAGTAGGCAAATCCATAGGGACAGAGAGTGGGTTAGTGATAACCAGAAGCTGGGAGAGGGGCAAGGGGGTGGCTGCTAAAGGGTATAGGGCTTCTTTTCAGGGCGGTGAAAATGATCTCACATTTAACTCTGTAAATATACTGAAAGTGACTGAACTGTAGACTTTAAAAGACAAATTGGATGGTATATGAATTATCACTCAATAAAGTTTCCCCCCCGCCAATAAAACCTTTTAAAAGTTTATGAAAGGTGAATGGTAGTTTGTTTTTTGTTAGCATCCCTCGGCAGTGAAATCTCAGGCATCCCAGAAGTTACCTATACAGGTGTTACAGACCGGTAAAATGCTCGGAAAGACATCGTTTCTAGCAGAGTGCTTGGTATTCAGTACACCAGCCATTCACATATTTTTGACTGAAGCAATGGTAGGAAGTGTGAGATGGGAAAGTCAAACTTCCTGGTAAATTGTGAGACTGGAGTTGGATGTTTGAAGTTCATGACTGTAAACTCCTGTCTTCTGGATATTCCAGTAATATAAAGAAACTCAGAATGCTACTTTCTGGGGAATACAGTTCCTGTTTTTAAAGAGTTTCCCTGTCAATTTGGAGAGATACATATATAAATTCGTGCAAGGGATTAACTGTGATGGGTACTATGAACTGTGTACAGTGCTTTGAAACTTGGAGCATATTCCCTTCAATATCCTCATCATAAGAACACATCTAGAGCTAATAGTGCTAATTCGACCTTAAAAGGCAGCCAAAGGATTTGGAGCCAACTCCGGAGAATATCACGGTGAACGCAAAGCACCTATATAAATTTGAAAAATTGTCATATGTTTAAGTTTTGAAAGAGATCACATGTTTAGGCTCCTTTCTCTGCTCCCAGGCCTCTTCCTCCTGTGCCTTTACTCAGGTCTTAACACTCAGGCTTGGAATCCCTGCTGTTAACATCCCATCTACCTCCAAATGGTCTCCCTCTCCACATCCAGAACGTTCAGCTGATCTGTTTTTTCATATTTTTATCTTCCTTGGTATCTTACTGGCATTAGAGTCTCTACCCACCCAAAGTTGACTCTTTCCAGAGTTCTAAGACTGTCCTTCCCCCTCCACTAAATGCTTACTATGGGCAATTTCACATTCTGCTTTGGTGTGCTCTAACTCCTGTATGCACATGTGGCAAATCTGTATTTATACCCCTCATTTTCCCCCCGTACTGTATTTCCAACTGTCCAGATTTACTAAGCATGCAAAGAAAGAGAATTTCCTCTAAGTGTTTATCTTTAAAATTGTCAACTAGTGATGAAGCTGATGGCATCCTGGAATCCCTCTTTAAAAAACAACTTCATAATGTAGGTTTATTATACAGCATTTATAAGTAATTTAATCAATTATGTCCCCCAAATAGAGTAAGCCCTAGAGTTTATTATGTGTGAGTTTTTTCTAAATGTGACTCTAAATCCTTTGTCTGTTTGCAAATATCAAACCCATCTCTCAAACAAAGATACACATCTATAGGGCTCGTTCAAAAGAATATGCCACAAATATTTCAAAGGTATGTATTTTATTATTATTTTTATTTTTATAAATCTTCATTGTTGAAAGAATTACATATGTCCCCCTTTTTTAAAACAGGTGGTGGCAGGATTAGAGGTATCAACTTGCATAACCTCCCAAGATTTGACAAGGACCACATTCATGTTGATAGATAAGCTTTAGTATGTTTATAAAAATCAGGTAAATTGTTTTAAAGTTGCAAAGTGCAATGGTACAATTAGAAAGATCTAGCCATGAGTCCCAAGTTTGGCTTTTTAATTGAAAAGCTTTAAACACATCTTTCTCAGCTCCAATTTTCTCATTTTTATAGTGACCACAGAGTGTTGTGAGATGAAAAATTACATGTATGCATAGCCTGGCACAGAGAGATTCATTAAATGACAGCTATCTACTATTTACTCAGTGAAGTAAAAAGTTATCATACCCACAGTTCTCTGCTTGATAGAATCTAACACCAGTTGAGAAGAAAAGCCAAATTAGCTAAACATTACTTTTAGAAAATCTTTCATTATGCAATGATTTGAGGGGACACTTTGCAAGGCAGAGAGGCAAATAAAGTCCTACTCTCTATTTTCTAGGGGACATGCATCAAAGAACTAACACTTTTTGTTTACTTGAGTATCAGGCACTATCAAATGCATTATTTTTTCCTTTCTTACTGGTAAGAGAATGGATTACATATCAGAAATAAAATGAAATTTTACATTCCCAAAGTTAATATTGCCTTTTATGATTCAGTCCTCACCTTCTCAAAACAAATTTATGGTTATCTTCTTCTACATTTAGGCATGGCTCAATTCTCCAGAAAAAAAATTATGAATTGTTATGAGTATTATTTCAAATGCAGACATGAATTAAAATAACAAAAAGAGGTACACCCATTGCTTTAATTTTAATATTTGCTTCATGGAAAAACAAAAACAATACTGAGATAACTCAAGATTATAAAAATATAAATAAATAAATAAATAAATAAATAAATAAACTAAGAATTTTGAGCAAACTCATAAATTTCTAGAACTAAAAATGTTTTATCAAATTGATGTAACTCTCCAAGCTCTTTCTTGGATAGTATTATTCAAGAAAAAAAATGATGACATGAGAAAAAAATAGAGACTTCTTTGCATATCACTTTAAAACCTCAGGGAAAAAAATATTTGTTTTTATTTAGCTAAAATGGACTCACTGAAGCTTATTTACGCTCATGTTCCTAAAAGCTGATATAGTTTTGATGGAAGTATATTTTGAACTAAGTTTGGCCTGCTGAGGATTGTTAAATCATAACATGTACAATCAAACAAACAAAAAAGCACAAGTTCAGTGAATAAAGAAATACAAAATAGTATAAATAAAACTATTGTTGGGTGAGTTGAGCTGTTTTCCTCCCAAAGGAGCAACAGATTTCCAAAGCACTGAAAAGTATCTGGAACTTGCTCTAACAAATAATGCTACAGAAATAGCCTTCCCATTATAAATTATATGCTCCACTCAGTGAATGCACAGTTCTATAGCCAGCAAAACTGTTTAATATAGCATCTGAAATATAAACATTATATGTTGCTTAAAGGATTTATAAATTTAAAAGTTAGCCTTAGACTTAGAAGACAGTCTTTCTTTACAAGGGAAAGAAAAAAAAAAAAAAAACACTTTTTTTCCCCCCCCTCACAGAAATGCTAGGGATTCCTTGAATGAGTTCAAGGACAAGGTTAAAATGTTAAACAAATATTAATTCCAGTTTTCTATATGCAGTGCACAGGTGCAACTTGAGCAGCATATTATATGGTATAATCATTAAATTCATTCAACCAGACCTTAGAGAGTTAAAAACATATATTCTGAGGAACAGGACTCCTCGGTCCAAAGGATGAGAATGAAACAGTGCAGAATATTTGTGTATCAAGGTGATGCCAGTTTCCAACTGGGAAAACGGGACTGTTAACACCCACATCCCCTGACCGCTGTCCAATTATGTATATCACACTTGGCCTACTGTTTGCGGTAGAAGTAATCAATAAAGGATGTGGTTGAGTGAACATAGATTTTGGTTGAACCAATGCATGAAAACTTAATCATTTACTCAGAGAGAAGAAATCAAATAGAGCAGAGATGAAGCGGCCTCCGAGGGGTTTGTTGATTGTGCTCCCAAGTTTCTGAGCCACAGATGAAAGCAATAAGGCAAATGGAATCAGTGACAGGAAAAAATGTAAAAACGCTGTCCTTAATTTCATGAATTAATAGAAATGTTTTGATGTATTTTGGGGGGGTCATTTTTAGGAAATTTCGCATCAAAGCCTGAATGTTCCGTTTTAAAGAATATATGAAAATTACTAGGGCATGCCATTTCTCTCAAGCCAGAAGAAATTAATTTTCAGCTATAACAGGAAGGTAATTTTCAATCGTGAAACTTTGTCCTGATTGATTGAAAGATGTCCACTGTGGAAAGTTTTCTAGGAAATAATTGAACCCGAGTTTATAAGAAAATTTACAAGTGCTATGGAATAAATCCAGGCCCACTGTGACCAAAGTGTCTTGAACAACTGTCATTTTTTGTAATCCCCCCCCCCCTATATAAGCCACCCTGATTAGGTTGGAGAGTTGGGCCATTTTGGTAAATGAGTTATTTCAGAAAATGAGTCCAAAAAATGCTGTAAGAAAAATTGAGGTTATTTACCCCCCTCTATATTTATTCTAATTGTCTGTCTACATATAATAATATTTACTTGGTAATTTCTCAACTCACTGTCTCTTTGTTTTATGGACTATAATTCTGGCTTTTATAGCTGTGTCATGGGCAATTGTTACTATGTTAGAATACTGAATTTTTTTTCACTAGTATTTCGAGTAGGAAAAAAAAAGACATTGTAAATGCTTATTTTCTGTTATGCTGCTTAATGTTATTCAGACCAATAGCAAAAATAACAAACCCGGCTTGTTATTAAAACCTGCATCAATAACTCTAATACCAGGGATAGTTCTAGCATTACCAACTGAGCAGCTCTGCATTACCAAGTCCTCAGCCTTGAGGGAATGTGTTTTTCAATTGAAATCACAGTATAAATTCTTATAACCATTTTAGAAGCTTCCAGCCTTAAAGCCTATTCACCCTTCATGCATGCTCAGCGGATGGCCTCAGACACACACTTATCCCAGACATGGCTATCCTCTTCCATTTCCTTTAAAGAGATAAAATATGTTTATAGAGATAGGGCTTCCCATTAGTGAAGCCTGTGCGATTGCACAGGTTGGGAAAGAGATTTAGAGGTGATGCTAAGCTCCATATGCAGCTTGATTTATTCCTCAGCCGACACCACCATAATTTCCTCTATTTTTGTTGCGCTCTATTTCTGCTAGTCTGAGGACAGTTTAGGACTATGAAAGGTACATACGTATGTGTTTGTGTGTGGGCTGTGTGTGTGTGTGTGTGTGTGTGTGTGCATGTGTCAAAAACACCAAGCCCTTGAGGTAATTTTTTTAAAAAAAAGATCACAAAATTCATATAAAAACATTTCTAGTAAGTAATGGGCTTGATTTAATAAGGCTTCTCAGATATTTGGGGTGCTGATGCCCATGGTACAGAACTTTCGGTTTTGACACATCTGCCCACCTCCTGAGTTATTTTGCACACGTGGAGGAAGAACACGCCAAGGCTCCCACTTCTAGGAGTGCTCCTCCATAAACACCAGCAATGTTGTAGGTGCGGGTGGGAAAGCTGTTGTGGGCTGGGAACACTTTGCCCTCAGACCTCAGAAGAAGCATCTCCTGTATTCTTGTGTGCTGCATAACATTATTAAATTTAAAGCCCACAGGAATCATCAACAGCTCCATTTGTAATTTGGTTGAGGGAATTCTTTTAGGTGGAATTAGTTTCATTTGGAATAAAAGTGAGATGGGGATAAGTCTTCCTGCCCATTATAGGATTGCCCTAAGGCAGGTTGCTGGACTGTTGAGAATATTGAAATTGAATTGTCCCTATGGCAACCCAAAACACACCCTACTTCATATGTCAAATCTTCAAAAGCATGTTCTTTTCCACACCTGGACTCCAAGTGATGCATAAGCAGTCAAAACATCAGATAGATTGTCTGTTGTTGTTATTGCCAATATTTAGCAATAATTGTTCAACTCCCACCTAGCTTTTATTGTAGAGACCAGGAAGTCAAATCTTGGAGTAGAGACACTAAAATATTCCAATGAAACACTAGGTTAACTGGCAAGAATTGGTTTAAGATAATTGCATGTCTCCAGAAGTTTCAAAAATAATTGTATTTTTGTAACCAAACTGGGCATTCCAACACTTGTCTGCTCAATATGTTTACAAAAGAAAATATTTTCCCCTGGAGTTTTATATCTTTAGTTATGTTGGGACACAATGTCATTTTGTAAAAATTATTTTATAAACACATTAATGGACACATTTATTTAAGTGTATGGGCTCAGGCCAGGTTTGCTACTACAAAGTAAGATAAATAATCCAGTCAGTTTTTATGGATTCTGAGAAGTGCTATGAATAGAGCTCAATAATTTAAAAACCAAATAGAGCTGGACAAAAGGGTGCAGAGTTTGTGTGTCCCACATAGGCACTAAATTGAATATATCGTATGTATTCTTTGTGTTCAAACATTTGCTTCTTTTTGGTTGTTATTTGTAGTAAATAAAAGTATAAGGGACAGCTGGGTTAATTTTCCATGGATTAGTCACCAATCTTTACTTGGAGAGATGACACTCATGGTTCTGCTTATAAATATGTCCATTCTTTCCTTATAAATATGGCCATGTCCTTAACCATGGATCCAGTAATGACTGCCTGGCATTTTGTAGGGCACCTTTTCTTTCACTGGTGTTGGATTTTAATATTTAATTAATTATTTATTTAGCACTTAATGATTATTATATAATGCCTAGAGGTCCAGTGCACGAAAGTCACGCATGGGGGAGGGTATCCCCTCAGTCCAGCCTGCACCCTCTCCAATCTGGGGCCCCTTTGGGATCAGGCCTAAATAGGCAGTTGGACATCCCTCTCACAATCCTGGACCAGGCTCCTAATTGCTCACCTGCCTGGTCACCCCTTACTGCCTCCCCCCTGCTGGCCTGCTTGCCCCCAATTGCCCCCCTGCCAGCCTAATTGCCCCCAACTTCCCACCCACCAGCCTGGTCACCCCCAATTGCACCCCTTCCACTGGCCTGGTCACCCCTAACTGCCCCCCTGCCAGCCTGGCCACCTCATACAGCCTGCTGTTCAGTCATTTGGTCATCCCTCAGTAATCCCTCTGCTGACCTGGTCGCCCCACACAGCCTGCTTGTTCAGTCGTTTGGTTGTCCCTCAATCACCCCTCTGCCGGCTTGGTCGTAGGCAGCCATCTTGTGAGGCTGTGAGGGTCAATTTGCATATTACCTCTATATTATATAGGATGATCTACTCTTACTTCACTAGGCATATGTTTTCAATGACTTTTAAATAACAATTTTACCTTTTAAAACACCACTCTGTATATATTTACAAGTAAAATATAAATGAGAAGAAATTAAACTTGACACAATCTATTACCTATTATTATTACTACTATCATTATTAAAAAGCTATATCATGTATATAGCTTTTAAAAATAACTTATGATGAAAGGGTCACGTAAGAAGGCACTGCTTAACATACCCAAAACCATGGTCTTAACTTTGATAACTTTTTTTATTCTTAGACTACCTTGCCTTAAATTATAGTGCTAAGGATGCTTCTATATGATGCAATGCTTAAATGAAGTGTACTATGAACACAGCGCAATGAGTGAAGGGCCAATCATATACTTCCCATGGAAACTTTTGTATCAGAGGTTTTCCATATATACTTCCTTTAAGCTTTCTGTTTTAAGTGAAATTTTGGGAATATTGTTTTTGCACCCAATTGTTCCTCCAGATCTGTTCGATGGAGAGATGTCTTAATGGAAGCGGCATGACTGAAGCCTAAGGGGACATTTTCCTCCACGAGGTGATCTGGAAATGCTGTGGTGAGCCACAGTGACTGAAGCGCACTGTGTACCTGTCCGCTTTTCTCACCTGTGCGACGTGACCTGATTTTCCCCTTTCATTCGAGGTCACCACTAAATGTAAAGAAAATCAAAAATAAAGTGATACAAAGGAGGAATAGACAGAGAAGACTGTAGACGCATAGCTCGAAATACCACATTGGTTTAAAATAACTTACGATGAAAGGGTCACTTAAGAAGGGCACTGCTTAAAATTTAAGCAGGCAGTAATGGAAAGCGACAGACCTCAAACAATTTAAGTCTTTCACAGTTGAGTGAGTTCCCAGTGACAGGAAGACGGGGATGTGCTAACTCACCTCTGCAGGACTCTGGCTATGGCTTCATAGGCTTTCCCCAGGCTCAGGTCATCCTCCAAGTCTGTGGAGATCTCACTGTAAGTGTTGAGGTCCTAGCCGGAGGAGAAACACATGTGAAACGTGCGACACGGGCCAGAGTGATTAAAATTAATGGTTGTTTTTAATGTTTCCATAAACTATTTTTTGTTTATTAAAAATTCATGTTGGCTTGGTTTGTTTTTATCTGTAGTGTAACTTGTTTCACAGCATTCTCTTTAAGCACTGACAGTGAGGTCTTACTTTCGTGAAAATAATTCTTTTCCTGCACAATCCAAAATCGTCCAATTTATATAACTTAGGTGTGAATAAATAATTAAATGGCTTGCACCATTATTTTAAAATATGGGACTATTACCTAAGGTAATATAAAGCAGATTATAGAATTCTACTATGGGAGCTTAAATATCACTTTTCTTTCTATAAATAGCTGTTTGAAAAACATGAATTTAGGTGCCAGGCAATTTCTAAATCTATCATTTTATTAGATGCATTTCTCACAGTTTGTACATGTATTTGGTATACACTAAAAGTATTTCTTATAAATGCACTTCATTACCAACAATCTCTTCAATAATCAAAATATTATGGCTGCCACAGTCTAATGCATGATATTAATTTAATTTAATTTAATGTTGACATCATCTGTATGGTATAATTTTTCTTTTTATTCTTTTCCCATTTCAAAGGCCAAGAAAAGGAAAGTACGTAAAACAAAGCCCCCATTCTTTCTCCGTCCTTCATTGTTATTTGATCCAACCTATTGCACAGGAGGATACAGGAAATCTCCAAAGACCTCTATGGAAATCCTTTTTGTACATTTTCTAAGAAAGAATTAGTGAGAGTCATTTGACAGGGTTGAAAGTCGGTATGAGGGAGGACACAAAGATGAGCGTGGACCATGGACTGAGTTTGGCAGCTCAGAGAATTAAGTATTAGAGGCAGCGTTAGTCTTCTTTATGTCCTAAAAGTTAATAGTTGGGAAATAATTTAGAGAAGGCCATTGGGATACCTCATAAGATTTGGGTTTCCAAGTGAGCGCTTGGCAGATACTGATATTAAAACTTACTGATACACGCTGACCCAGTTTAATTCCCACTAAACCTGCAAAGTTCAAATGTTTACTTATCATTGTTAAGGCTTTTAATAACCTTGTATAAGTCTGAGAATATTCTTCTCACTTGGTCTTGCATACTGACAACACCTAGATGTAGTTAGATATGCCTTGACATAGACCTTTCTGAATTATGGGCAGAACTCTAAAATTTTGTGAATTTATGAGGCCTTATTGAATCCAAGAGAGCAACTTTCTAGTATCTTTTTTGGTCCATATATTTTTATATGACATTCTAGAACTTTAAGATATTGTGTCAAAAATAGTTTGTTTTCAGCAAATATTGTTACCGTGTGCCAGGTGCTATATCATACCAACAGAAATCTCAACTAGCAGAGAGCATGCTTGCAACCCTGGAGGCCTGATGCAATTGTGGGACTTAGTGATGACTGAAGACAGGTTTCTCCAGGGCTTACTGGTGCTTACACTGTGCCACTCCCCCTTGCCTCCAGTCACCAGGGCCCCTGAAGCAGTACAGCAACATATGGGGGTGCCCAATTTTATCTCAGAGATGGGTCTCTTCAGTCCAAGGATAAGAGGGTAGGTGCCCAAGTAACTATAGGAAGATGCATCCATCTTGACAGCTCTCATCTCACACCAATGTGCCATGCCTCCAGGGAGCAGCAGGGCCCAAAACAGCTCAGTCTGGGGTTTGGTTTTGGCTTCAGAATTGATTCTATAGAAGCTTTTTCACAGAGCCAGACGTGGAATGTATGCTGGAATGAATTCTAACCATAGAGTAAATAGACTCGGTTCAAGTTCCAATTCTTTCATGCTCAACATATGTGGGCCAGGAAGGCTCCCTGAACTTAATTTCCTCAAAAGTAAAAAAGAAAACCCTGAGAGCTGTTGTGGGGCTACCATGTGATAATAGAGTGCGATATTGTAAACCTTAGGACTGGGAGTCTATGGGAATAACCATCCACTGGTGAACAAGTCCTGGTGAAAGTTTTCTTCCTCAAGGCAAAGACACAAATTGTATTTGCGTCTTGAGAAAGTTCCTGTATCCTTTACCTACAAATAGGAAACACATAGGCAGTGGAAAGAATACAGGTCATCACTGATCCAATAGGGAATCCATCAATTACATGAAATCCATGCTGAGGACCTTGGTAAGTGCAGTAGAGGAGCTCATTTAATCAAGGACAAGGCCCCACTCCTCAGGAACATGAGCACTACTGTGAGAAAGTAAAGGAGATCATAAGGAGAATTCAAGGCAAAAACGCAGCAGATTGGTGAATTGTATAGTTCAACCCAAAGGAAGTAGAAAGGACATTGTTAAAATGAAAATTAAGAAAACCCATAAAAGCAAGTGGAAAGAGAAAGTGAGATTATGAATTCTGAAGAAAATAAAGATGTTTATATTGATCTCATAGTAAGTGGCCTCACGTGTCTTTTAAAGCTGGCAAGATACAATTTTTTTATTTTTTATTTTTTATTTTTATTTTTTTAAATGGACTCTTTTTAAAAAAAATATTTTATTGATTTTTCACAGAGAGGAAGAGAGAGGGATAGAGAGTTAGAAACATTGATGAGAGAGAATCATTGATCAGCTGCCTCTTGCACCCCCCCCCACCGGGGATGTGCCCGCAACCAAGGTACATGTCCTTGCCCGGAATCGAACCCGGGACCTTTCAGTCTGCAGGCCAACGCTCTATCCACTGAGCCGAACCGGTCCCGGCGCAAGATACAATTTAAATTTTAATAAATATTGATCAACTAGAATCCTTAGACAAAGACTAGAACCCCTTTTCAAAGAATACTTCAAGTGATAAAATACTGTGTGGAAATCTAAGGGATCCCCTGTATTTGATTGAATATCCCAGTGGCATTCAATATGTTGGAAACAAATCCAGGGTGTGAAAGATTAAAATCTAGAATCACAAATAGAAGAAGAAAGAAGAAAGAATCTCAGGTACAAAAAATGTTGTTAAATTTAAAATTCATTACATATCTTTAATTTAAAGACAATGAACCTAATCAACATTTATTAAATGAGGGAAACACTGATTATGCATACTACAATGTAAATCAATCAATGCCAAGTTGTGCATGATAATGAGGTTGCCAAAATTGGAAAAGTCAGGTCACATATCTAATAAAAACTGAGTGCTACATGGCCAGTGTTTCAAATTGTTTCAATGATTTCAGTGAATAATGGAGATGAAGGTTTGACAATGATTTTACTGCAATGAATTCTATCTTCCCACTAGAATGAAATTAACTTACTTGGAAAGATATTTTCAAATAAAATTCAAGTTCTTAAAATGAGATAATTTATATTGGTCACCTAAAAACAAAATTCATAGCAGCAGATATGAAAGTCAAATATTTATAAGTCACTGATACTAAAAAAGTATAAATCAAGGACAATTGGCTGCCTTATTTCCCATGATTCCAAGTTTTCAAAATTTTATCTAGCATTGTTCCCGTGTCTAGGGAAAGGAGAGGAAATATTTCTCTTTCTCTCATGGCATTGCCTAGAGGATGCACAACTCACATTAATGCTGATCAGTGACATAAAATTTAAATGGGCCTTGTGCTCTGCCTGGTGACTCTATCTACCATGGTCTCTGCAGGAAACTAATCCAATCCATAGAAACTACTACATAAATAAGTTCTTGCATCTAGACCACTTGATGTGGAAATTTTGTAATTTTGTAAAACTTTTTAGTGAACTCTAATCTTACCTTTACATTGTATTTCTTCTATTTTTCCCTATATTCCTTTCTCTAGTTACCACCCTCCACGCCCCCTGCTCTCTCTTAGTTATTTCAATATTTGAAATCAGTTGGGACTTTTACTCTGAGGGGATAGGCCAGGCTTTGAAAGGGACTTATGTGATAATTAATCAAATCTCCCTCTGGGTGCTCCAATTTTCTCCAAACATCCTAGGCTTTGAAGTCAGGCAGGCCTACTAAGGGGCTGAGTGGCATGTATCGAGTGACTCAATCCCGCAGGTATAAAATGGAAGTGAATGAAGTCTACCTTGAAGGGATGCTATGAATTTCCAGTAAGATAAGGTGTTTAAAAGAATCCACTAAGGTCCTTTTACAAACAAGAGTCCTCTGTGATTGTTAGGTTGCACATACACAAAAGCAGCCCTGATTCAGAGCTATCATTGCCTAAATTGCAAAAGTTATTTTTTATAAATCTAATCACAAATTAAAAGGTACAGAATAATAAGCCTGGAATTTATATAAATATGTGTGCATCTTTATCTGTCCTTCCCTCCACCATTCCTACAAAAGTTTGAAACACAGTTATGTGTAGGAGACTTTTACAAACTAAATAAGTGTACAAATGGAAAGCACATCAGGTAAAAATTAAAATATTTTTTATATCATTAAAAAATCAACAGTACCACCTTGGCAGTGTGGTCTAATTGATTAGGCATCATCATGTGCACCGTAAGGATGCGAGCTCGATTCCTGGTCAGAGCACATGCCTGAATTGTGGGCTTGACTCCCAATACAGGGTTAGCAGGAGGCAGCCGGTCAATGTTCAGCTCTTTCATATTGATGTTTCATTCCCTCTCCCTCTTGCTTCCTTTCTAAAATTCAATAAAAAACTATAACAAAACAGTAAACCCACAGTACCCTCATTAAGGATTTGAATGAAACAACTGCTTAATTTTCCCAAGTATTTATCTAACCTATCAGTTCTCACGTGGGGACAATTTTGCTCCCTGGAGATATTTGGCAATGATGAGAGACATTTTAGATTGTCCACACTGGGAGAGGTGCTCATGGCATCCAGGGAGTCAAAGCCAGGGATGGTACTCAATACCTCAAAATTCACACATGCCCCTACAACAAAGATTTATTCAGTCTCAAAGGTAAATAGTGCTTTCATTGAGAAACCTTGACCTAGCCTTCACTTGAAAAATATCCATAATTGGAAACTATTTCCTTGTGAGGCTAGCCACTCAGCTATCAGAGA